CTATCTAAATTAAAAATTTAAAGCAAAGTAATAATATATATATATGTTTTTTTTTTTTTGAACTTTGGTGACAATGCCAGTTGGTTTATTAGCTTTAATTTGATATAGTACAAATTTTACAGTTACATTTTAGGATCAATTATTACTAGTACTATATACTATCTAATTTTATACCACTGACTTTACCTAGTTATCTATATAGTACCTAAGTGCATGTTCACCGCATGCCTGCACACAGTTATCTTAACAACCACTTGTGATCAGAACACACCATTAAACTCTATACAGATAAGGATACCTACCAAACTTAATATAGTATCCCAAATGCCAAGAGTACTGTCTTCTGTAAATTGTATCCATATGTCCCACTCATATGTTTTATCTGGTCTTGTTTCTTCTGTTTCTTAATCTAACTATATCTAGTATTACCTTGTTTCCTATATTTCTTACTTTTTTGTCACTGTACTACTCCCAAATTGGTCCTACTCAGGTATGTTTGATCCTTATAATCTTCCCATCTTTGGTATGCCTGTTATTAATTCCCCTAAGGTGTTTTGACAATGGTTCAGGATCTGCAAAGAACTCGTATTTCAAGCCAGATCTGCTGCTGCCATTGATCTTTTTGACCAATCTGTATTTCAAGCCAGGTCTGCTGCCACTATTCCTGCAGATGTCTCAGGTCTTAACATCATACAGTAACTCGATGCTACATTTAATCTCCAACATGGTGCTTCCTTCTATGGTAGGGACTGAGACTTATTGTGCTTACAAACAGGACAATTCTGGTTATGTCTAAGGAGTTTCTCTGACCTTAGTGATATCATACTATCATATATAGCAAGCTTCCAGCTTATTCAATAATGCTTGCAGAACAATTCTGGTTATGCCCCAGGGAGTTACACCAACCCTAGTGATGCCATACTACCTTGCAGATCTTATCTCATATTGGTTGATTAATTTCAGTCTTGTTTGTTATAGACTTCTATATAGATATGATCAGGAACCTGATTTGGTACTTTTACATTGCACAAGGAAGTTATACGCCAACCTTCAAGATTTTTTCCTTCTATAGTTAGATTATTTGGCTATGCCAGAGATGCTTCTAATTTTGGTTAGACCAATTCTTTATCACAGTCCATCTTCATGTTCACTGCTTCTCTCACCATTCCAGTCTTGGTTACTTTCAGAATACTCTTCCAATTAAATTCTCTCTTGGAATCCTAATTAAGACTTATTTACACAATCTGTTGATTATCCTTCCAAGCAAGTACCTCACAAGTTAGATGCAAGGATGTTGGTACTGCCTATATTAGGAGGTATAAGGATGTTGATGCTGCCCTAACCTAAAGGACTTACATGTGCAATCTTTCTATAACTGTAACCTTTTGTAACAACTGCTTGTTACGCATAATTCCTATACTCCACAATTGGGTCTCCTTTTGGGAATTCCTATTTCCATTATTGTATTGTACTTGGACTTAAACACAGGGCTTTACATTTAATTGCAGACTCCTTATTAGGTTACAGAAGCTAAAATCTTTTAATTTTGCCTCCAGCCAGACTTGAACCATTGACCTTAACTATGAAGGGTATGAGAGCTTAACTGCTAAGCTATGGGACCCACACTTTTGTAATAATATATTAAGTACTAAAAATATATTATAATATTAATACTAAAGTTTAAATAAACTTTACAAGAGTATATTTCTGTTAATAAAACTGTAAAATAAGTAACTTAATTAATAAAAAGGTCTTTTTGAGTCTACTATCAGGTAATATATTCTAAAATAAGTAATAATTTATATATAAGTTCAGAAAAAGAAGATATATACTAATCATATAGTATATATAAATATATATAAAAGTTAAAAATAAGTTAAAATTTGATAAAAACAAATAATTAAAAGGTTTAAATAAATAATTTTCTAAATTATAAGTATAATATTTAATATAAAACTTTAAAACAGGTTACTTAAATAAACAACCAAAAATTGCATATGTAATTTTGTTTGTCTTTTATTACTATATAATTATATTATAAAAAACAATATATAGGTATATCTCTTTTACTTTTGAGCACTTATGTAGCCTTTCTAAGTATCAGTCGACTATTCAATTTTTCTTCTAATTATAATATTAGCAGTCATTCCAACTGGCCAAAAATTCATTATGACTGTTGCTTGAACAGGTTGCAACTTCAAAAATTTTTATTCAAAATTATTCATTTTATCAACTCTTCTTAGCTGCCATCTTAGTAGACTAGACTATTACAACTCCATAACTTTATGAGTGAGGTGAATAGAATCAAATTAACTAGAACAAAGATCAGATTCACAGAAAAGACAAAGTTACTAACTCTTACTTTTCTTAATTATACTAATATACTATTCTTAAATTATTTTATAGTTCTCTAATTACCTCATACTTACTCTATTGCTCTATACTAATCTAATTATCTTATTCTTACTCAATTATTTTATAATTTCTTTATTACTTTATTTTTACTACAACTAAACATATGAATCAAAACTCTAATTAATAAATACATTATTAATTACTAAAATTACTACATACTTTTATTCAATTAATTAATACTCAATTGAATATGTGATCATAATAGACCTATTACATGTTTAATCATTATACATAATTCAAGACAAAAGCTATCTTGATACTTATATATTGAGCAGCTATTGGTTGCACTCTTATGTCTATAAAAAATAATTGTAATAACTAACTTCAAATTATTAATTAATTATTGTTATAAAGTATAATATTTAATAATAAAAAAACTAAGTATCTATTAAAAAAATAATATGCAATATTGATTTTTTGATAAAAATAAATTGAGTTTTTTATTTTTTATTTTTTTATTTTTTAGTATTAAGGTGAGGCCTTGTTTTTTATTTTTTTATAAAAAGAAAACCAAAAATATTAAGAAAAAAATCAAATTGTTTTAAAAATTAAAATTAAGTAAGTTTTTTTTAATTATTTATCTTATTTTTTATTTTTAATTATTTTTAACTAATAATATTATTTTTTACTATTATTAATATTAAAATATTTTTTTGACAGGGTGGTGTAGTAGTCAGATTGTTAACCTCCAAATGGCAGGTTCAGAGTTCAAATCTCAGTGTTGATAGAAAATTTGAAAATTCTTCTTGTATTATAATTAATTGTCTCTCACAATTGGTTGGAATAAGATATCTGTTATCTATATCACACTAGCATAACTGGCAGGTCATATGGTATTTGTGTAATAATCATATAACATTGTTCTTTGGGATAAGGTCTGTTGTTACATGAAGGAATGCAAACTGGTACTAGGTAGTGCAAACCTATAATAAGTTCTTGTAATTATATAAATCATAGGAACCAAATAAGGAAAGATAAAAGTCTATTTGGAAGATCTGAATAGAGAGGTAATTCAAACTTTTAACAGTACTACTGTAAAGACTAGACCTATGAAATAGAGTTAGAACTTGTGAAACTAAACAAATATGCTGATCTTTAAAGAAGGATCAAATGAAACAACTAGGCTGCTAGAATTTCTAAATTTCAAAAAAAAAAAATTACATGTTAACAAACATGTAAACCAAAGATATATGATTATGACCTGCCTTTTTGGGTTATCTGAGTTGGCAGCTTGGTAGAACTTGAATTGAACACCAAAGTAATAGAAATATGTTATAAAGTTAGTATTGTGGTTAAGATGAACTTTACAAGAGCATAACAATTTATAATACACCCTAATCACTAGTGTTGGTCTCAACCATAATAATATCAGGTCAGCTATAAAAATAGGATACAAAAGATTCTAAAAGGTTTAGTATAAGGTCAAAAGTTTCCCATATGAGTAAACTGCTTTAAAAACTTTAGTGACTATAGTATATTTTCACTGATATTAGTCAGGATTATTGATAAGCAGAGGTAGGTAAATGGATATGGAAACTAGAATGGTTAAATAAGGAACCTACAAGCAAGTTCCAGGTATGGCAACTAGTATAGAACCTTTGGGTAAACTACTTAAATTAAATAATGATTAAAGTTGTATAAGTGACTAGTTGTATACTCTTTCTATGATTGCCTTCTGTGGTTGTAAAGCATCTATTAACCAAATATACTACCAATAAAATCCTGAGTCACAAGTACTCACCAAAAAAAAAAAAAAAAATTATTCTTTTGACTTGAATGTCAAATATGTAAAAGAGTTTACTTAAAAAAAAAATCAATTCAAAGCACAAATCATCTAATAATGCCTACTCTTTAATGATTTATATACCAAATTTTCTCGACAAAAATCCTATTATAAAATAAAATTAAGAAAATCTTATTTTCAATTTTAAGTCTTTAAACTACTTTTCATATAAACTTGGTTCAAATAATTATTAAAAAAATTAATTTCATCATTAAAATCAGAAAAACCTACTTTACAAACTTTGCTAAAAAGTTAAAAATAGTTTATTTAATATTTGTTTTTAAAAAATTAAATATAAAAAATTTTAAATCAAACTTTATATATAATTATATACTGTATCTATATATATATTATCCTTGACTAAAAAAATACTTTAATTGCTAAAGATTATTATCGTTATAACTGGTAGGGCATTGTAAAACGGCTATTGATCAAATATATCCATTCATCTAATTAATTTAAACTAAAAATAGCACCATAACCATATTCAGCTCAATAATATTATTCAACACCAAAAACAGAACTAAAGCTTGAAACCGGTTTTATTTTTAGATGCTAAAACCCGATTAAGTTGGTTTAAGATGAAAACTAAAACGGGCTTCAAATTATAACGGAACTATTATCATTATTTAAAGTGCCTAGCAATAATGAAAATATATAATGTTAATGGTAAGATAGAATAAATAATGCAAAAAAGTGTAATAATGATAGAAGTTCATAATTGTCGAACTGAAGATAAAAATAATAAATACAGCCCTACACATTCTATCTACAAAATTAAAATACAATGACAGGAACATAATCATGGCTTCGGATTCATATATGGCGGATAGCCTTGTTGATAACCAGTATTTGATTGATTGTAAGGATAATTTCCTTGTTTTTGATAGTTATTATATTGTTTATAATTTGGATTGGTTGGTACATTCGGAGGAGCGGGTAATGGTCTTGACTTTGGTGGTGAATAGGACAACGTAGGCGGTTTACGAAGTTGCGACATATCTTCAACGAATTTCTGAGGAGTTATGATATGCGTTGAACCTAGTATGTCAAAAAAAAATAAATAAATGAATGTTACGAAATAAAATTTTCCCGATAAGCATATCAATAAATTAAATTACCAATAATGACATCTTGACGATGTTTTTCGGTGATTTCATATGCGGTCCGGAGTTCTGAATATGACACACCACCGGCTATAAAAACTATTATACGGGGATTTTTGGCCTGAATAAGAAAATAAAATTTAAATATTAAATGATTAAATAATAAATCAAAAAAAATTTTTGATCAGCTTACCTCCTGGCCTTTCATGTACCATGTAGGTCGAAGACTAAAATATAAATTATTTTAAGCTATTATTAGATCATTTAATAGATTAACGTTGTGTTAAAGGCATCTAAAATCTAAGCACCTTCTTAATTCAGACCCCGAAGATTTATTACCATCTGGACCACCCGCTGGATCCTTTGTATATGGATACGCAGCAGCATCTAGGTTTTTATTGATATGATTCTAATAAATTGATATATAAATATTAGATAAGACTTATACATTAATAGAGAAAAAAAAAATACTGCACCTCCAAAACATGCTTTAACCTAGGGACATATCGAGAGAATTCATAATGAATATCATCTCCTTGTTGTTGTCTATATTTTTTCTTTTTGGGAGTGCCCGTTTTGGTCTAGAAGAATTTAGGCAGCGAAACAGTCAGACTTTGACCAATTAACAATTAGAATTTTAAATTACATACTTTTGTCCTTATTAACTTTTCACCGAAAAATTCTAAATTATTGATAGATTCGTTCTGTTGCATTGAAATCCTAGCATGATTCAACAGCTTAACTCGGTCTTCCTCCGGAATACCACGCTTATACATTATATAAAGCATGAGCATTCTTACTTTGGTACTCGAACTAAATAAATTATAATATTGTTATGATCAATTATTGATAATGAAAATGTTAGATAATGATTGTTGTTTTCCAATGATTACCTAATGACAGGGTTATCTAATATTGGAATCATATCTTCCATTAATGTTTTAGGAGGTTGAGAATCTGACGTATATCCAGTAGCGCAATTCTTTTTTAAGGAAAAAAAACATGTAAATTTAAATTTCATGATTAATTAATTCATAGGTATGTTAAATACCTGTTCAACTGTGGCTACTTCAGCAAGCTTTTCTTTATCAAACACGCTCATACATTCTTGTGCAATACTCAAATGAACTGAATACTTTATTTAAAACTAAAAGTTAATTTGAAGCCTAGTGACATCTCTTTATTTAAATAGGTCTATATTATATTTACTGACCTTTTCCTTCATATTTGTGAATTGAGGTAAGGTTGCCAACATTTTTTTTATATCATTCAAATTTGCAGCTTTATCTCTGTAAGGATAAAATAATTAATTGAAAATTAATTTAACAAATTAATTTAGAAATTAATTCTAAATGGCGTAAATTAATATAAAATTTATAATCACTTGTCATTAAAGCCTGCATTTTCTACCAAAAATTTGTTGAAATCTTTCATAAGTTGCTCGATGCAGTCCTTCATGTGTTTATGCCGTATACCAACCCATATAGTATCAGTTTCGTCTAACATAGCATCCTTATCTGCCGGAGCACCCTCATCATCGACGTAGCTATACGTGTATTTTTGACCGTTTACAATTGGCAAAAGGTCGTTAGCCATGGCCTGATAGGTGAATTCATGTAATATTGGAGTGTACAGATCAACGGTCCGATCCAAAATAAATAAAACAGATCGCTTGCGTTGTATTTCTAGCTATTTATGCAATAAGAAGTTATATAATAAAATTAAATATTTCTAACATCTTAAAAACAAACAACTTACAGGAACACTTCCAGGCGCGATATGCTTTTTCATTCTTGTATAATTATCCAACTCAGCTTGTACCAATTGAGCCAATTTAAAAGGTAATGATTTGTTCGCATAATCAGGATCGAGATCATTTCCTTTCTGATAACGAATCAAAGGATTTTCTCCTAGCGAAACACAAACGGAAAGAAGCTAGAACCAAAATAAATATTTATAAGAAATTATATAACTTATATATACATTTAATAACACCAATATTAGATATTATACTGACTTGTTTTGCAAGTTTGTTCAGTTCAGCATCATAAATTGCGTTGTCTACCGGTGAATACAATCGGAAGAAACTTTTAGGGGATTCGAATGAATAAACTTGCGCCTCTCGGGCTATTTTTGAGGATCATAAATGCGAAGTCAGAAGCTGATTACATAATTATAAATAATTTTCTTCGAAAAAATTTCGATATTTGATTATTATCCAACAATATCTGTGCATTAAGAATAATTCTCTTATTTTACCATGAAATTCAATAAAAAGCTCTTTATATGCTTTAAATAAATCTTTAGGAATTAATCTCATTAGCCTATCATAGTCCGAACGTTCAGGGGCTGAACGTTAATAAAAAAGACAAATTAATAAAAGGTTGGCATCATAACAAAAATTAAACCTGAAAAAAACCTACGCGAAGTAAGAAAAACATGCGCTCCAGTATACAAAGGTGGATTCCTAGTAAAATCCTCAATTACTTTAGAAATGGATTCCGACAAAGGAGTAATAATATATACTGCCTCAAGGGGGTAAGTTTGACGAGTTTTTTCTAGCTCTTCTACCACTGAAAATATTGTACTAAGTTAATATTTATACATTCCTGAAAGTAAACTATAAGATAAACTTACAGGTGACTTTCTCTTCGAGAATGTCGAACGTCTTACAAGCTGATTCTAAAATCTTGAGTGCAGGTTCATCTACCACAACAACTTTCCATCCTCCTTGCACTTCTGCTGTTCTTATGGCCTCAATGATATCTAAGAGCAGTAGCCAGTGTGAATAAAATCGTGCCTTAAATTTACATTGAAAGCTAAACGAAAGATCTACTTACGTTTTTTAAGCGTTTCATGAATGGCTACCATGATTAGTGACGACGATAATATTTCAAACTGCGCGGATGATTTATACTGATTGATATCGTGTAACACGCGTACACTAATTCGGATCAGCGTTGCATATTTGAAATGTAAAATAGCTAAAAACATTCTTTCTAAGGTTTAATAAATAAATGATTAGTTCCAACTTTTCGATTAATCGACTTTTAGATCCATATCATACATATACATGCTGGCCGAACTAAAAATCTCAAAATCCCAAATATAATTAAATTGTCAAATCCCAATAGTTTTGCCAGCAAGTATAATCATACATAGGTCAACGGTTAAAGGGTTTTAAATTGTCTGGTTACCCGAACTAAAAGGTTGGATCAAGTTCTCTATTTTATAATTATAATACTAGAAAAAGAAAAAACAAAGTATATCTTTCAAGTTTACTATTTTATAATTATAATACTAGCAACAGAAAAAACGATATAAATCAATATACATTACTTTTTTTTAAAAAAAAGCATTGTCATTAAACCTAAATTTACTATAGGGTGTCGTCAGTAGAAACAGCCCATTTTACAATTTTTTTTTATTTAATTTTGAATAGTTATATGTTCAATAAAAAAAAAAGTTTGCACCAAGTTATAAATGCTAATTATATAATAAAAAGATTTGCAAAATAAGCTTTAAGTTGAAAATTTATATTTGTAGATCATTATTTAAACTTGATTTACATACAAATTTTAAATCGTTTATCACTAATAAGTTTATACCAGCCAAGATTAGTATGATGGAAATTTGGATTGATTGGCTAATTAACAAAAATTCTGATTGGGCAAAATTAAAAGAATTAACTTTCGTTATTTCAAAGATTTGCGTCTTTGACATTTTTATGGTATTTCGTGAAACGATTGATTTTTTTAATCATCTTATCTTGCTCACGTAAAATTCAAAACATTATTTTACGACAGGGTGAAGCCTGAGTTGCGAAATAGTGAAATCCGCTATGATCATCACCTGAGGGTGAAATCCGCTTTTATATAATAAAAAACATAAACGCAGATTTCATTATTTCGCAACTTAGGTTTCACTCTGTTTTATTATTTTTATTAACTCTTTAAAAGTCAAAAAATACATAATATTGCTATTGTAATACATACCGGTATTGTCAGAATCACTTCTAATGAATTGGTAAAACACTTGATTCCAAACTTTTATAGGAAAGTTAAGCGTTCAAAAAACTATTTTGCAATATTTCAGAAGGTTTTAATTATTAATTATCCAATCAAAGCAAATTTCTATCATGCTGCCGAGATTAAAAAGTTAGTAATAAAGTTTATTTAGATATAAACAACTTTTAGCTTAATGTTTTTAAAAGATTTCTTCAATACCTTTTTTAATCAACTAAGTGTATATTTCAGTGTATTTGTTTTAGGATTTCGTAAAGCATATTTTTCGGCATCAATTCAGTTTCGTCCGTGTAGATCGTCACAATTTCGCTAATAATACTGTATAAAGAGGACACCGCAATAAACAAAAACGTTTGTCGTCATAAGAAAAACGCAGCCAACTATTCTTCATAATCAGCAAACCTTACTCAGAAGATCTCCCAGAGTTTAAAATTATTCGCTCCCATTTTGAGTTGTTGCTTTTGTTGTCATTATCATCATTATTTCAATCTTCATTGTTATGATCATTATTATCTCTTTCTTAAGACGGAGTGCAATTTTTCCTTTATGTATCGTGGTAGTAGAACCTCTAATGCATTTCCTGGCAGTTCAGTTAGTTTTGCTGTATATTGGCCTTGTTTGTCTCTTGCTTCATAGTCTTCTTATTCTTCTTTTGTTACTCTTGCTAGCTTGTTGTTGTCAATTGGTATCAATCAAAAAAGTTTTTTTTTTTTAGATTCTTCTGTTTGGATTATTACTAAGACCTTTTTACACAAAGAAGTTTTTAGTTAATTAGAAAAGAAAGAACGTTCACAGTAAACTGTCCACTATGCGCCAAATCTGATTACTTGACTGGTAACTTTCGCAAACTGTAGGCACGACGCGCTTCCAGTTCCTTTCTTACCTGTCTTATTAGCTTCAAACAATATATAAAAATACTAGCCATTTAAATATTTATCCAGTTAGGTTTCTTGGAAGTGCACGTCGAACTTCGCGTTGGCTCTTTATAATATAAGGTGATATAAGTAAAAATAAATGCATATACGTTGTGACGTGAAATCAAAACAAAGTGATAGTAAAAGCTATTCTTATATCAAAATTTTGCGCATGTGCGTTGTAACGCACCCAATAAAATTACAAGATCGCGTGTAACGTAGCGCAAATCGAATATCAGGTGTAACGTGCGAAACTTTCTAATTAAAAAAAAATTATACGTACAGTATATAACTAACCTTAATCGTAAACCCCACCTCTTTTTAACCTTTAACCTAACCTTTACCCTAACGAATATTAATCATAACAAGAGTGCACTGCTGTACAGATGCACCAAAAACATTTTCCCTATTAGCTATTTCTATCTGTGCAATACCGCAATATACGAAAAGCAAAAACAATGCAGCCTAACACTTCATTTAAAATGTTATCAAATATATCGATATATTTATTTTTATAATTAATAATCTTAACTTTTAATTTGAAATTTAAATATTTGTAATTTTCTAAATCTACTAAACCAATTTGTATAAATCTTAATTCGCTTCTGAAAAATTAATTACAGGATCAGAAGAATTGTTAACTATAATAAGTTGGCTATTAACACTATTGATGTGTTCATATGACTTTTCTATATGATCAAAATTTGGGTTTGAACTTTTTTTTCAATTCATTCAAGATTTGTTCATCATCTTGCCAATTTTTGAAAAATTTCACAAAGCCCTTCAGCGGATGGACGTTCGTTAGGATCTTGATTCCAACAATGTTTCATGAAATCAATGTAGCATTTAGATGCTTCTTCATCAACGGAAGCCATAAACCGCTAATTATTTGTATAACTTGTTCTATATTATCCTTATAATAAGGCCTTATAGGTTCACCATATAATACTTCCCACATTATAATTCCGAAACTATAAATATCAGATGCAATAATATATTGTTGTTTGTTTAAAACTTCCGGAGCGATGAAAGGCAAAATTCCACAAATTTTATCATCTTGTGTCGTATATCGAATAGAAAGACCAAAATCCGCGATGTACGCGATGTAAATCTTAATGAATTATACCTTGTGAATGAATTGCCTTAAGGTCAGAAGTTATGCTAAAAAACAAATTTGCGTCTTTCCATTTCATTTCCGATACAAAACAAAGATTCTCACACAAAGATCCCATTTTAGCATATTTTAATACGAAAATATAGTTTACTTTTCGCTTCTCGATATACCATAACATTTCATAAATGAAGGAATTTCAACTCCGATTTCGCAATACATCTTTAACTTTTAAAAAGAATATTCTTAATTGAAAATGTACAAAGTAAAATATATTGAAATAAATAAAATACCTCATTTAAATAACCATTTTTATGAAATTCCTTAAGTCGACAGTATAAATGGTTTGAAAATTTCCAAAATATTTCCTTGATCTCGTCCAATTCGCACGAAATACAGTCACAAAACTACCTCTTCCAATTACCTTTGCATTTTCAAACTTGCAAGGAATCCATACTAATGGGTATTTATCATTGTCCAATAACGCTTTATGTCATTGTTGATATCAAGACTTTCATATTCTGATCTGATGATTTTGTGAAATCTACTCTTTTCCATTTGAAACCAATAGTTAGCTTTCTCCATGTCTATCGATGTTCCAATACCGTTTTGATAACAATCACCGACTAGTGTTATTCCCTCAACAGAACCCATCTCCGCAGATTTCTTATAATATTTGAATGCCTCATGTTCATCCTTTTCAACTCCAATTCCACTTTTATAACAGTTACCAAGTGCAACTATTCCATCATCATCTCCCATTTCAGCAAATTTTTGAAAATAAATAAATGCCTTACGTTCATCCTTCTCAATTCCAAACAAAAAAGATAACAATATCCAACACTATATGTTCCTATAGCACAACCCATATCTGCTGATTTTTGATAATAAATAAACGCTTTATAGTTATCCTTTTCAGCTCCTATTCCTTTTTCAAACAATATCCAACATTAAAGGTTCCTTCAGTGTTACCCATCTCTGCGGATTTTTGAAAGCATTCGAAAGCGAGTTCAAAATTTCCTTTTTCAAGGTATAACTTAGCAGTTGAATTTATCATTTTTGCATCGTCAAAATCATTTGAAATAACAATTTTTACATCAATTTTAAAACATTCAATATTAAAATCTCATTTAATATCATATAAAGTAGCGTTTGAAAATAACATAAGGCATTACGTTCTTCTTTGACAACCCTATCCCATGTCTATAACAGTATCAAACCATGTACATTCCCTCAGCAAGTTCTATATTCTCTCCTATTTTGTAATATTCGAATGCTTTGTTATAGTCTTTCTCAGTTCCATATAAAAATAGCCAACCTGAAATATTCCTAAAACATGTTCATCATCAGCTGCTTTTTTGAAGTACTTGAATGCATTAAATTCATTTTTTTCTACTCTAATACCATGTAGAATGTCGTACCCAAAATTGTAATCTTTAGATGATACTACGCGAGAAAATCCCATCTTGCTTAAAAAAACATTTGTTGATTCATATTTATTTTGGGGTTGACTTTACTAGGTAACTAAGTAATAATATAATAAAAACTTTAAATTAATAGATATATAGTTATCAATAGGTTTACATAAATAAAAGAATTAAACATTTTGTACAGGAAATATGAATAAACACATTTTTCCGAAATTAAAATATACATATTTTTTTGTGTAATCTTTTCATTTCATATGGATGGCTACGAATAGCCAATCAAAATTATTTTTACTTCTAATATACAAAAAAAATATTGAATTTTATTTATAATCATTCTCTGTCTTTTATCAAATCCATAGCAAACCAGGTTCTGAGACAAATGCTTTTTATT